TTCCTGCTTTATATTTTATATTTTAAAAGAAGCCACCTGTAAATACTATTTTCTTTTGCAAAAAAAAAAAAAAACCAAAACAAAACCAAAACCAAACCAAAACAACAACAACAAAAAAGAAAAACACAAACAAATTACAGTAAAACATAAAAAAGTTCTCAAGTGGAAAGTTATCATTCCCAATGTTCTTGAGCTGTTCCTTCTTTAATCATTCTCTCACATTCTCCTTCACCAAACTTGGTCCACTTAACAGTAGTATGATTTTTTTTTATAGTTTTTTTTTAAGACTCATTCAACAGCTTAATTATAGCTAATAAATTCTGAGGTTGATAAAGTTTTTGTACTGTTGCCATTTTGACTAAGGCAGAGGAGATGAAAGTGAGAAAGGTATTCAGTGCAAAGTCAGATTTGTGCCATTACATAAAATGAAGTCCAGTAGGTGTAATATTCACAGATAGAATTGATTTAGCAATCTTTCTCGTGGGCTGATTTACTTTCACATAATAAAAATGGCCTATCATTTAGGATACAGTTCATAACACTAAAAAAAATTACCACTGTAACATAAATGAGACCACATACTCCCTGAATTTTCTTCAGAATCATGCTAAGTGGGATTTGTTTAAATTAAAAAGGCTGTTTCAAAAATAAGCAAAAATAAAAATAAATATTTTATGTGGCACAATCTCACCACTTTACAGGTATACTAGAAACAGACTCTTAAAGCATTTTGATACTGATTACAATTTTGATTAAATGGTATTAAAATTTATATATAAATTATGTGACACTTGGTTTGGATAAAACATTCAAGAAAATTCTCAGCATTAATAATTCTTGTGGAGTTTATAATCAAAGCAAGCTACCTTTTAAAAATACCAGTACACCTGTGATACATCCTCTGCCAAGTCTCTGGCCTTCTACAGTACACACAGGTTTGTCAACTGTGCAACACCATTTACAGTTTATTACAATTAAATCAGTCAGTCTCTCTGTTATATGCATCAAATTCAATTTCATATTATTTATAAACTGGGGTTTTATTCTGAGTTAAAATGAGCTATATTTTTCAACCCTTCACCAATTCTAAATGCTTAGTTGTAAGAGTAAAACATTTACACATTTGGGGATTCTTGCTTTAAATGCAGTGCTTATCTCTACAAATAAAAAAGACAACAAAAAAACCTATGCAAAGAATAAAAACCTACTTAAAAAAGTGAATGCAGTAGTACTACAAAGTCATCTGAAAGTCGATTTAGAATTTTAAAAAACTTTAGACCCAATGAATGCCAATATAGATTTAGTGACGTTTAACTATGTAAAAAAAAAATCGCATTGAAAAAAAAAGTGTTTCGGTTTGCTGACATTGTTTTTCATGGCTATAGCTACAGAAGTATATTGGTGACAGAACAATCAAAAAGGCAAGTACGGTAAATACCGATAGTATTTTAATGCTATAACATAATTTTAGCACATTCAAAACCTTTTGTGAAACTTAGATCTGTGCAGTGACAATCTAGGATTTCAAATTCAAAATACAACGTAATACAGTTGTAAAATTAACTTTGTGTAAGTTTCTTAATACACACTGGGATTATTTAGACAAGACTTTAACGTAATGTTCTCCTGAAACATTCTCCAGCGTGGTTTTTGTGCTAAAAAGTGAGAGGTATGGATGACTTATTCTATAGGATATAAGCCACGTGTATTCTTATCTACTTAAGACAGTGGGCTTCCAATATTGCTAGAGATGAACACTGTATTACCAGAAAAAGGCTATATTTTAAAAGAAGGTGAAATGATACCAATAATTGATTTCAATTACTTATAAGTGATCTAGATGAAATATCTATGCCCTTCACAAAATATTTAAAATCTATGTTGAATAAACACCACAATAAACTACAAATTGGTATTTAACGTCCCCGTGCTTTATGAGTATATTTAATATCTAATTAAACAAAAAGTCACCTAAAACTACCACTGCAAATCATGAAAGACCATTAGCAAAAAGTGATTTTTGCAACATCAGGTCAAACTTTCAAAGACAACCGAAGCCTTACCACACATTACTCTTGACAGAGATAGGTTTTAATCTTTTTCTCTATTTTCTTTTGTCTATTCCTCCCCCCCCCTTGTTGGTAATCATGGGCTGTGACCTTATTCTGATTATATCCTATAGCCCATTGAAGAGTTTTCAAGAAATGAGAACAAGCCAATGGGCTGTAAATAGTGCGTGGTGATATAAAAGAAGAAGCAATCTCCTAGAAAACTTAAGTAGTGTCTTGTTACCAGCTTTACACTTTCTGTAAAGCATAAGATTATAGGAAAGATAAAAGTGTTACATAAATATAGCAAATATCTATGAGGGCCCTTTTTACCATTTTGACTGAAATCTGTATTGTTTCTTGTAGTTAATTTATGGAAGGTTGCAAGAAGTGAACTGTAGTCAATGTTAGGACATGTCAGATCTGTCACCTGAATTTGGCTTTCTAATATTACAGTATCATGGAAGCCGGCACAACACTGATGTTGATGAGAGCAGAATAATAATACTTGGCACATAATGCTTTGCATCCTCAAAGCCCTGTACAAAACAAGAAGCCCCACAACACCCCTGTGAGGTAGGGAAGTATTATTATCCTCATTTTACAGATGGGAAAACATACACAGAGAGATTAAATGACTTGCCGAAACCCACAGTGAGTCAGCAGCAGGGATGGGATAAGAATTCAGCCCACACACTGCTTCCTAGCCAATGTCAATAAACCGAAAATATCACTTTTCTCAATAAGCTTAAATAACTTCATTCAGGGGTCCAAAGGCATTACACTTGAGGAACAGGAGAAAAATGAAGATTTATGTTCCACTCAAGGGTTAAAGAGAGATGCCCAAATATTGGATGTCATCTCATCAACAGGACTTCAAAAGTTGCTTCTCCTTCAGGTTACACATTTTAGCAGCAAAAGGCAATTACCAAGAAATAGATTTTGGCAAAAAAACCAAAACACCCTCCTTTCCCCCACTCTTAGTAATTCAAACTCAAACAACTTTTGAAGTATTATCTTCACAGCCCTTACCTTTCTGAATTCAGTCAGGTATCTGAGAACATGCATCCTCCTCATAATATACAGTACAGTGGCTCAAAAGTTTATTGGAAAAAAGGAATCTAAATCTTCAGATTTCTCCAGACACAGACAGGAGGCATTTATTCCTTTACTTCTTTCTCATTAAGCAACCACCCATTCATTTTATTTTGCAACACCAATCTGATATTTCCACACCAATTAAAAGAACAAATTGCGGGGAGAGGGAAGGAACATGATCAAATTAATTATTGCAGCACTGAATTCATAGTGTTTCCTGATGCAGATGGATCTTTAAATAGTTTTTAAAAAGGGAATCAGTTATTTATATTAAATAAATCAAAAAGTTTATATATTTAATTTAGCTGGGAAAGCCAAGTTTACAAAGTATTTTTAAAACTGCAAGCATTCCCAAAGCTTTAAAATAGTAACTATTCAGATTTTTTGAGAAAAATAATGAATGGGTCAAAATAGGGTATTTGGTTAACCAGCTGTGGTGTTGCAAATCTCATGTACACTCAAAGCACTTCTTACAAACAAGAACTGCAGAACTAAACTAACCTCGGTCTGCGGTCACAATCCTTTGGTAAGGATGGACACGCATATCGTGCCTTCGAACTTTAGTAGCCACCGCACCTAGTTAAATTGCAATTACCAAGACAAAGTTAGAAAACATTCAAAGAAAACATTAACAGCAGGTTTATCAAAATGGATTTAAATGGTCATTAACTACAAAAGTTCATTTTAAGAAAAGCAACAAGTTAAGGCACAGTAGTTTCAAATCTTAATCTTAAAAAGAAGTTTATCTGTGCAGATTAATATTGCATTTGTTTTAAACATCCTGGCCTTAACCTGTTTAATCCATTCATTTACAATCCCAAAATTACAGTATTTCATGAAATCTATTAGACCCAAGCACATTTAAGCTTTACTAGTCACATATTCACTGAAGTGCCTTTCTTGCAGCAGGACTATTTTAAATAATGCCATCTTTTAATACTGACAATTATTTGCTAACCTTAAGATCACTTCCAGTTCTACCACAAAAAAAAAAAAAAGGTTTTAAAGCAATTTTTCAAGCCTACAGATTGTGATTTTAAACTTTAAGTCAATAAGTATGAACTGCAATGAATTAGGTGATTAGTAAAGCAAACACTATATAGAACACTTAGCAGTCAGTATACTACTATACACTCATAAATTACAGCTATTCTGTAATAATAGGAGCTAATCCAAATTAATAGCACTATTTTATTTTAAATCTATGTGCAAAAAAGTGCAAGTAAGTCACTGACTGCTAGGCCAAGCTTTTTTCAAGGCTGCTGAAACTAAGCATTTGTTAAAATTCAGATCTGATGAAGGATCAGTTAAGACCGTTCTTGAATTCTTAGCCTTTCGTTGGGAAAGCCATACCTGAAGATAAAAGGAAGGGAATTAAAAGTTAGTCACCAACTAAAATTTGATCCCAACACCAATATCCCCAAAAATACTAATAGGGATGCATTTCTCTGCCATTTTTAACAGAATTATTTTACGACACCTTAAAGGTCCACCACAAAAACGGACAAAATGTAGCATACTACTAATGAGTGTATTACAAATTAAAACTCAAGGAAAAAACTAATTTAATTCAGTTAACTCTATACAATTGCTCAGATAACAAGCAGATGTATTAAGAGTTATTGATTCTATGCTACTTAAGTGGGAATGTCGTCTTTTTTTTTTCTCCTCCCTTTTCCTTTTTTAATTAAGATTATTTAGTGAGATCTGTTTTGGGCAATACACCTGTGCTCTCACAGAGAAGCCCAAAAGTATGCAATGGTCTTAGATGCCATTTTAGGAGTAATTTTCCCGTCCTCTCTCTTTATAGAAAATTCTGCAAGAAATCAAATTTTCCTCCATCATATTAAACTACTACTATGGAATGATGTACTACTTTACTTGCTGTTAACTGAATTCAGGAAACGGGTTTGCTGCTAACCAGCAACTGATCACTACTGTGATGTGCCTATAACTGTGACTTTACCACAGGATGTATCGCAAGTGGACTCACAGATTGGGGGTGGAGGAGCTGGGAAGAATATATACATGTTTGTGGGAAACTAATAAATGATGACGTTATCATATGGATTTTGGCTATGGGGTAATGGACAGCAAAGATAAGCTGCTCAAAGACAGACCCACTGCTTACTTCTGTCCTACTAACATTTTTATTACTGATTCATTAATCCTGAAAGGCAGAAGTCTGAAATACAATTTCTTTTTTAGTGTACAAAATATAATGTGGGAACATATAGTCAACAAGTATTTGTCATGTAAGCAAAACACTGATTTTTTGCAATACTTTCAACAAAATATTGACTTTGAACCTTATTGTCCCGTGTACATTAGAGATGTTTAGAATTTGTGTAAATCAATAACTGCCAGTGAACAAACTAAGATCAAAGTCCTAAAAAATCAACATTATGCAGCACCAAGGTCATATGCAATTGAGAACAAACTGAAAAGAAAAGATTACTTAGATTCTGTAGAGGGTAGGGAAGGAAAAACTATTAGAACTGCATGTTCCATATTGACCAGTTAACTGAATTGTCACAGCTGCTTTATCATTCTCGCTTTCATACAGCAAGTCAATGGTCTGAAGTATTAGGAATGCTGGACATTTCAATCCAATGTATATAAAAGAAGCCATCAGTAACATTGCTAATTGTATCATCCTTTGGTCAGAAATTAGTTTGCTTTATATTCATTCACTGAAATTATTTTCTGCTTACAAAATTATTTACAGCTTTCTGACACTGAGGAAAGATTTATCTGTTGCATATTAAATAAAGAAGTAAAAACCACAACAAACTGAAAAAAGGCCTTTCCATTCTGTCCAGTTTTGCTACTAAAACAGTACAGCAAAATATGATGTTCTCTCTTCCAAAAATTACTGAAAATTAAACTATGCTGAAGAGAGCACAAACAAATATGGTATTTATGGAAGCCCATATAATAGATGTCAATATCTTTTTTATTTTTCCCTTTGCCTATAGATCCACCATCTAGTGTCACATAAAGATTTTATTTATATATTTTATTTATATACTGAACACACATGATTTAATAACACAAAACATATTAAAATGTTTGAGTCACACCATTTGAGCAGTTTTCCTAGGCAGTTTTGATATACCTGAGATAAGATTGTTGCTTCAAATTTTTTTCTGAGCCCCATGTCCTCCACCTTGCAAATATCACAAAAGCATGAGCAATATATTGTCCAGTCATCCGCGTACAAAGATCTTACCTAATACACCACTAGGTTCAATAGGGTACTCAAGGATTGATGTAGCTGGTGCCAGCGTGTAGGGGTATTCATACGGTGTGTAAATTAAACCAGCTTCGGGTCCAGGTGGAACTATTGCAGCGGTGGGATGAGGAGTTCCGTTTGGCATGACAGCGGTTTGTATTTGTCTGATCAAAGGCATTATGGTAGGGCCAGCTGGCGTAGGAGTACGCAGGGCAGCTGGTGGGAGAACAGGCGCAGGCCCAGTAATAATCCTTGGAGCCTGGGCTGTTGCTGCAAGAGAAAAGGCAAGGGCTGCTACAGTAAGCAAAGAAATTCAGAGGAAAGTATGGAGATAGCAGTACAAAACGTGGAAAGAATGGGAAAAAAGGGGAAAAGTAGGAAAGAAGAAAAATAAAAGGAAATCATTAGTACATGCGCTGATCACACAGTGCCAAAGCACACCATTCAAATGCAAACAGCTTTCCATTTTCCAGTGTGATTAAGTATGAACATGCAAAATAAAAAAGCCATTGTAAAACAGTGAGGTAGGTTTCTCAAACAGGTTACACAGCACAAAAGCTCCATTTAGACCACATTTCTTCATTTATGCTATCAAGACTGCATGAGACTGAGATGCATGCAGGAGATACAAGGAAAATACTGTCATAATCAAATACAGAGTACAAAATTTAGTGCAACTATAGAGTCCACAGATACTCAGTCATGCAGAGCTGCCATGAGTCTAGAGTTTTTTATACATCTTAAAATTGTGTTTAAACACACACACAGTTCCAATTTCTAAGATCAGTGAAGCTAAAGATGACCTATGAACACAACACATCTCCTCTCCTACTCTAGCATGAATAAAATAGACTCAAAAGTGAGGTCCATATCAAATTCCCCCAAAATAAATACTTCCGTTGTATTAGAAGTTCAGTATGGCCTGGCTTTGGTTAAAAAAAATAGGTACCTTTTTTTTGTAAACAGTGCTAGCACATTTCATTAAGTGTTACTTGAAGCCTGTTGACACACATGATGAACAACTTCTTAAACACTAACACATAAGCTGGTAACAGTCAGTCTTACAGGGTTATAATTCACAGATTTCTACGCACTACTGTTGTTCTACATTGATTTAATTAACTTACAGGTGGTCTGAAAAGAGAAATGTGGCGAAGTTTTTCAGTTTTGAGACTGCTGTCGTTTTTTAATTATTTTAATTTTTTAAACAGAAGTGCTCAGACTGAATGTATAATTAAAAAACCCTCAAACATTTTCATTTCCTTTCTTAAATGGAAATAAACCAGTATGCTGGTTTACATCTTCAAGTTTTCAGTAAAATCAAAACACAGTGAAATTGTCTAATTATCAAAAAATGAATATTAGTGTGGAAATCTCTAGTCAAAATCTAAACAAACAAAAAAAAATCCCACTTCTCACTTATACTGATACAACAGACCAATAGGAATAGATCAGACAAAGAAATTGCTCAAATTAACATAAAGGTTTCTGTGTAACAGTTTGCATCAAATTAAGCTGAAATCTGAAAGCTATTTTCTTCATACCATTTGCAGTAATTTAGAGACTAAAATATATTTAAAACTGATCTAGCTTTAAATATTACAGTATTCTTTAGGACTGAAGGACTTACCACTACCATTGTAGTGGCAAAAGAGCTTGCTTACGTCTCTTTTCACATCAGAATAATTACACTGGTGTAAGCACTCTCAAATTGACCTAACAGCATTCCAAACTTTAAACATATCCAACACTGAAATGGTCACTGTGTGAAGAAACAAATTTGTAAAAATCAGTAGGCCCTTAGTGAAAATACTGATTTAACTGTGCTTACATTTAACATCTGTATCACAGCTACACAAAACTTTACTTTGGAACAGTATCAGCAACTACATTGTCAGGAGGAGAAATTAGGTTTTCAACTAGAGAAAATAATTTGTATCACACATAATAGTATACGCTGTCATTAGTAGCTGTATGTAATTAATTTTCAAGTGTAAACCTGTGCATACATGTGTTTGCAAAAGCATTTTCACACAAATGTAATGGAAAAAATTGTAAAAATGGCTCATTACATCACTGATCCCTGTGAACTCAGCTGTGAAATCAGTTGATGAATTGTTGGAAAACATAACATTGGGGGGACACATGCAAGCAAGATGAAAGGAAGGAATATAAAACAGAAAAATGTATTCACAGTATCCTGAACATCTGTAACATTTTCAAATTAAATATCTAAAAATAGAATTGAAAAGGAGTCTATTGTCCTTTATATGTATCAAGAGAAAAAATGACTGTAAAATAGAAAAATCTGGCTTAAAGGTTGAATTTTTTTAAACCGCGTATTTGTAAATATTTCAAGCCAGACATAGTTTAAAAAACAGAGTGGGAGGGAAAAAAACCCCACAAAAAACCCCAAACAAACAAAACCCCCTAAACTGACATAACTTATCTCCAGAAGGTCTTTTGCAACAGGTACCCACTGTTTTGTTAGTTTTTTTACTGCCTTCCATTCTCCAACACAGGTGCGACTGTACGTTTGCCAAAAAGGAGCTTTAGGAATCAAAACCTACAAACATTACTATGGCATTGACCCTCGAGCTTATGACATGCTTACGTGATTTGATGTTGGCATCTCTGTAGGTGCCATTCAGAATTGCAAGCTCCATCAGCTGCATCTTTTTAAGGCTGTCTTCTCCTTCTGCCTGTGTGTGAAAAGACAGGAAGAAAGTCAGTCTTATTAATTCACTAGTGCACAAGATCTAAGGGACCTAGAATAAAATGCCTTCAAGGTTTAAGCAAGCAAAATACCTGCTTACCTTTAGTACCAAAACCAGTAAGCTTTGTCAACTTTTCCTTAAAATCAAGTGCAAGTTGCCTGCTGTCTATCATTAAGTGGTGTTGATAAATATCTTAAGAGATCCGAAAAAGGCTAATACCATAAATTATAAAAATGGGGTTAAGGGTAAGTTGTGTTTGATCGAAATTGTTTAAGGAAATTTTTTCTCAAGATTTAGTAAATGTTTTCATGTACTCCTAATAGGATCTTTTAATAAATTGTATTATTGGGCCAGAGGAAGAATAGACATCACAAATTTTAAGCAACTTCAATTTATTCTAACTTGTACCACTGTAGCTGATACTGACTACTTCAAGGAGGGGGAGATGACAAACCAAAATAAAAAACAAACTTTGAGTAGTTTTGCAAACAGGACAGCAATGACTGCTGTAAAGTGGAATTCATTATTCTGCCACAGGTAGATGTATTCCAATTAGGATACATTATCCTTGTTTTTGCTTCAATGTAAATTAGTTCCCTGAAGTTATCTACTCCATCGGCATCCTGCAGCTTGTGTAAATATTACAGAGTATTCAGTAAAAAAGCTCACTTTTTCAGTTACTGACAAAAGTATTTCTAATTAGTACCATTTTAGTTTTAAGACCAGATATCTTCTCATCCATCTTTCCAGAAATACTACATCGTATCAAACAGAAAACAAGATCATGATACAGGAAACTTAATAGATGGTCAGCGTCTACTTTAATGTTAAGTTACCACCTTGCTGCGTGTACTGAATACCACTGCTGAAACCCTCAGTCAGATGGAAAAGAGGGCAGCTTTGGTTTCAGCTGCATTGCATTCTTCCTTTGCTGAACAGGACTTCTTAACATTTTTACTTATCTTGTCTATTCACACAATGTTTTCCAGATATTTGGAATAGCATTTTCCAAGTGAATGGGAACCTGGATAATAGCATACTGTGCCATCCACTCTGAAAATCTTAAGGTCTGATTTCAGAGAGTTCGTTGTTCACCTGTCTTAAACTGTAATTCTTACAGACAGTTTGAACTAGGACTTACAAGAGGATGAGTGATTACAAAAACCCCTCAGAATTAAAAGCTACAAAGAATAGCAATCGCCACCAATAACACAAAAAATTTCTATTAAATAACTTTGTGTCTATTACAACACCGTACTGGTGAAAGAACATCTCAAATTAGTTAAGAGTTAATAGGGTTACCTACATGCAGAGTTCCAAATGTATAGGCAAGTATTTTTTTCAAGCTAGTTTGTGGCAACATACTTTACGCCCAAACAGAGAAGTAATTTAGCAAATTACAAGACAAAAATAGTCTTTAAATTGTATCCAAGCAAATATAGTACTTAGTGTGAGTTATGCTCAAGGACCACCCCCCCTTGCCATGGAAACTTTAACATCTGCTTTTTATCAACGACCTAAAATGAACCTGGTAAGATTGGTCAACAATAAATTACTTTCAGATGTCAAAAAAGAAAGTCCTCACTATAATACTGAATACTTGCATAAACACAAAGATTACACACAGTAACATGTTGTTGTTAACCATTCAGAATATACTGACAGTTAGAAATTTTCTTTCTGTATTAAATACTGTGTGGCAGACCAAGCTAACACTAATATTCAAAAAGCAAATACACATTCAATTACCATTTTAACTACAAATTAATTGTACAGTTCTGTACTATCCAGAAAATCAGAAAATGTACAGATTACAGCATGCTTAATATGACATACTCAGAATCGACTTACAATTTACATGCAAAAGAAATTTATTTATTTTTCTTAGAAACTACTATCACATTCCATCTTTGTTGGTAGATTACCCAGACTATCATGATGCAATAAAACCAATTCCAAATCTATCTGCCTATCCAGAGTTTGCACATTCTTCTCATTCTGGATATACATTATCTAATTTATTTTAGCAATAAGGATTTTTAACATATTGATTCCTCTTTTCCCCTCCCCCCATAATGGTTATACTTTTGTCATTGGCTTTTTGCTTGGATTCCGTTATTTATTTGAAAGCGTGTAACAAAATAACCTCCTCACAATGCCAGCTGCATCTCCCACGTAGTTCCATTAATGTTACTAAAATTACTCACTTCCTCCAAATAAGAGTTCAGGTGATTGATCTGACACCATTAATAAGTCTTAGTCAATGCCGAATCTTACATTCCACTCGCTAGGATAATTTTAGTAACTCTAATCCCAGATTTTGCACCACAGTGAATATTTCCCAAATTATTATCCTATAAATAGTTACAAGAAAGAAAACATTTTTTCCCTTCTGACATCCCCAAAAGAAGGTGTTACAACAACTTAAAAGAACTAGAAGACACACAAAGTAATCACTCTTACTTTGGATCTTTAACATTTTCCTATAGGTCACTACGCTTTCTATAAGAAAAAAATGTTGTAATCATCTAGGTTTTACAAAGTAGGTTTACGAAAATAATAATGGACTTCAGCATACAAAGCGGACCAAGGCCTTAACTTTCATTTTTGATATTTATGTCTCTGGAGTACTGCTCAGCAGTTGATAAACTTTGTTCTTTCAAACAGACTCCAAAATATAGTTTAAAACCTCTCCTTACAGACTCTATCAGTGATAATTCTCAGATATAAGATGTGGACTTGCATTACTAGACATTAACACTATCTTTCAACTTCTGGTGTTTTGTTTTTCAAAGCATTTATTAGACAAACACCCAACCCAAACAAGAAAAAAAACCCACTTTAAAAACATCTTTAATACTGACCACAAGGGCATCATTCCAGCTCCTCCCAGGAGATGGCACTGTTTATTATACAATACTATCTCCTCAAGACATGGGTGCTTCGCATTATTTCACCACCCTACTAGCACTGCTCAAAATCCTGCTGGGTACCCCCTCACACCCCCAACGTTCAACAGTCACTTGCCACCTCTTTTGAAGGCATAAGTCACAAAAGTGGTCAGGACCCTTTCAGCTATGCTGTCATGTCCTTCATTCTCTGGTATCAAGCTCTCCACTTGAACACCATTCACCAATAGCCAAATCCTAAAATTTCCAAGAGCTAGGATGGAGCAACGGGCACATGTCTTTGCCTGCCCTATCCTCTCTTCGTTGCTGACAGATGATCAAATGAGGCACACCGATGCAATCTATCTTAGCTCCAGGCATTTCTGCAGGCACTCTCTGTTAAAGCAAAGAGAGGTTGCATCAGGGATACAAAGGTAATCTCTAAAGGGACAGTACGTTACCTGCGCAATAGTTACAACAAAGCTCAGTCATTTGTACCAAAAGGAAGCTACTTTGAGCAAACATCAATAAGGTCACTTAAAGCCAGATTTGCATTACTAAGTTGAAGCTCAAGCGATTGACTCAAACTGCTCATCCTCTTAAATCTCCAGTGCTTTCCTTGTATTTCTCATGTACAATGTAACATGTAGATTGAGAAATAACCTTAAATAGTATCTTGAAACATAATTCTTTAAATGTAAGCACTTGCAACTGCTCAGTGAATACAAATACTGAAGAAATGCAAGCAGTAAATCCTAACAAAGCCAACTGTGCCCAGACAACAGTGGTTACCGTTTCGTGAACGCACAGCCAGTACACTCCTCACAGTAGCTCAGCTCTACTTGGGCTAGCAAAGAAAAGACCTGAAAGAGACCAAATCCCAGCAACCACTACCATTTTAAGTAACTTATTTTCTAATCTTCATCAGAGTAGGATTAATACTCACAAGGTTCAAAACGCTAGTAACAGCTACGAGTTCCACCTACAAGAAGTCTCTGGGGAAACACTTCCCAAAATAAAACAATTTCAAATTAAATACAAAACACTGACCATACTGATGCCCAGTTAACCACAACTCTGTCTCCTACACTGGGCAATACTGTCTGTTTCAAAAAGAAATGGGGAATGCAGTTATGTAATAAACTGCTACTAGGAAGAGCTTGTTTCATGTCATGAAATAAGGAGTTCAGATAAAGCACTCCATTTAATTTTTTTAATGACTTCTTTTCATTATCATATCCAAGCTGTACTTCAACCTCAGATACCCCAATATCCTCAGAGAATTCTTTTGTTTAACTAATGCTTCTGAAATTATTGCTAGGCACTCAAATGCCTCAATCTCATACGCATACATTGCGCACTTAAAAGAGTAACATACAGTTTAGCTTCTTATTTATACACAAAACATACGCACACTAGATAGATACGGTATCAAGGTGGAAAACAAACAGGCATACAGACTCCAAACGGAAGTGCATTCACCGTGCTATGTCAGTGAAGGACTTCTGAAGATGACAACGGTCTTCAGAGGTGACAGGTAGACTGTAGATTCTGTGTACAGTCAACTCTGAGAAGCCTGTAACAAATTACAGTAGAGAAGGAAAGAAAGATACTATCTTAAAAGAAAAGAAGGATCAAGTAGCATTGTTTACTACAGAGCAGAGATCCATAAGCTAGCATCCAGTGGAGCCAGTCAGTGCCCACGCTGCCCTGCCATGCTGCTGCCGGGCCCAAACTGACCCACATGGAAGGTGACTGCAGCCGAGTTAATTCACAAACCAACCAATCCACTCACTCGTATGATAGCAGGGCTACGCTATCCTGACAGAGCTCCTTCAGCCTCAGTGTCTCAGAACATACTTTGATTCTCATTATTACCAATGCTGGTAGGGAAGGCTTTCAGCATTTCTATACAAACATATGCTTTCCCTGTATAACGCTCATTTTCCTTTCCAAGTAACTGTTTTGGAAAACATTAAAAATGTACTTTTTCCTACATTCATAATAACATAGATACACTTATTTAGGTGATGTTTGTGACTTTCATTGACAGTCTAGCTTCCAAATGTCATACATTTCAGATGACATTTTTGCAGT